CTGGGGTGGGGGATACTACTGACTGAAGCCATCAACATGTGAAGCCTACTTTGCATGACTGCTGTAAACAAAAACTGTGTGACACTTGTGCATAATGCTGAATGGCTGTGCAATGGCACTGCAGAGGAAAACGCGAGAAAAAATGCGTTTAAGTATTAGAGAGTTCCAAGATTTCCTGGCCCATGATGATGATTGGCTACTACTTTAGATTCCATGGAGTCGTGCTCTTGGATCTGTGTGCTGAACTGGGTCCAACATTTGACAGACCAACCTGGCGGAACCGTGCAATACAAGTAGGCTATAAACACTGTTTCTGGCAGTTGGCTGTTAGCAGTGGTAGCCGACAGGTGTATGCCTGATGGGATTAACAATATATAGTGTTTTCCTTTCTTTGTTTACAATAATATAATTCTGTAAAACTCTCTGAGTCTTCTTTTGTTTGTAAACAAGCTGCATCAAACAATATGTAGGCTACTTTCTAACTTCCGCCTCACAGGCGTGTCGATTTCTGTATCAGAAAAACTTTCCTGTCTTTTTTGACATCCACTTTATGTCACCATGTTTTCTTTATTTCAGCCAGTATGAGTCTCTGAGCCAGCTGCATTGACTGCCATTGTAACACTTATTTCTCCTCTACTCCACTTCATGTGATCAGCACCTCGATCTCACACTCAGTGTAGTTTCTCTTTTTCATGTTTTTTGCAGCCGGATCGGCCGTTGTTATTCGGACCTTGGTGACACTGGCATATTTATGGTCATTTGCATAGTAATTTATGGGAGGAGCCAAGGTGGGGAATGTGGCTCGTGCATGTGCTCTCAATTTCACGTTGATTGGGATGTATAAAGGAAAGGTGCGCAGGACCTTGAGTACTCCTAGTTTTATACATGTGGATATTTCTGTGCGTACGTACTTATACATGAGGCCCCTGGTGACGCAACACTGAACACACCTGTTGATTTATTTGGCTCCACGTTGGTTTCAATCGGCTACTTCAGTGGTTCTCAACCTTTTTTGGACCAGCACCCCCCTATCCATTATCCAGGTCCCTTACCGCCCCCCATCAAAAAAGATGTTTGCTATTTGCCTTGAATATTGTTTATTTTTTTATTGTTACTATTGTTATTAAAAACATGGAAAAGGTGACAAAAAAAACATGTGAAAAGTAATTATATTTAACTAATAAGTGAATGTTCCTCACAGAAACTGTGTGTGAAGCCAGATACTGTTTTCTTGGATGGGGCACTTAATAAGAAGATTTTGAGCATTAAACACTTAATTTCCTGCATTCTGGTAAAAATTTATCCTCCAATTTCTGCCTTTTCTGCACCAATTTATGGTGGAAATGTCTAAAAATTCAGGTGGCAGGTGACAATTCAAAATATATAATTATTATTATAGAATATAATCTAGTGAGGCTCTCAGGCATTCTTATTGCTTTTAAATATTTTTCTCATGTAGATCAACTTATTTAATATCATCCCTGCTCAACACCTCTTTTGTGGGGAATTAAGCTATAAATGTGTTTGTGACCCCTTTTCATGTCAGTAATAAATTAATCCGTTTTAATTCAGTTATTGACTGGACTTTATTAGCTCACAGAATGACAGTGTAACTGTGGCGCAGCTGTACAGCATGCTAGCCTCGAAAACCCAGCTGTATTCTAACATTAACTTAGCTCTCTTTATTAGCTAGGCTCCTTACATGCTTGTTAATAACTTTTAATAGCTGGGTCTCCGACATTGTCAGCGTTGTGTTGGACAGATTTGTGCAGCTGTGTTAACGAGGGAGAGAGAGCGAGAGATGGATTAGAGAGACGAGCGAGAGGATGTGCTGCACGAATACGCGCTGCCTGCAGCTCAAATACGATTTTAAATAGGCCTAGTAAAAAAAAACTAAATTCAATATGTGGCGGTAAGCGTTGATATTGTGGCAGGCCGCCACAAATAAATGAACATATGGGAAACACTGTAACTTATCTGGTCATGTTCAAACCTTTCTGCACATTCAGAATCTCTACCACATATCTGAGTTCTCTGAAATGTAAATAAAAAAAGTCGTAATGGGAGACTAACGTCATTAGCCTATTTAAAGAGAATTCATAATATTTTATTACATGCCCTATACTGCATTATGTTACTTATTCACTGGAAGTATCCCCTCGCCGTCTAACAGACAAAACTGACTGAGATGAGGAGCTGCTCATGCCGGGGAAAAACAAAACTAACCGACAACACCTGTGATCAGACAGAAAGCTCACGAATAATTCCACACACGTTAACTTCAGCACCTCTGATAAAGTGCCCCTTACAATCCCCAACAGAGCAAGACAAGTCTTCAGTTTTTAACGTTACATTTTTATAGCCTACTGAAACTACAGTATATGTCCGCTTTGGCACAAACTGTCTGCTACTCATAGTGCGAGGTGGGTCCATGTCACTCGCTGGTGTCGCAGCGAAGTTGCTTTCAGGAAGTCCGACAGCAGAATATCCCTCTTGTAAATGTGTAACCACTGAGATAACAAGACGTTCAAGGTGCGCTCAGAGAAATAAACACTTTTCCACCAAGAAAGAGAACATAAATTTTCCAGAGTTTACACAGTAAAGGCTATGTGGGTAAAATTTTAGAGATAACACTCTGACTTCCCGTTCCCGTGAAGCTGCACCACAAGTAGCTGATGGAGAAAAAATACACAGTTTTGTCCAGTCGCACTGGACTAACTGGTTTTAATGTTGCAGACCACAGTTTTTTGCAAGTAGTTTAAAGTTTAAACTCGTATTGTTGTGAATCTTAAGTGTAAACTCGCCTTAGAATTTCCAACTAACAAACACCCCCCAAAAGCAGCTCAGCACCCCACCTTCCAAAATATTGCTTCCCTGGGGGGCGGTGCCGCCCCTGTTTAGAAACACTAGGCTACGTGATTAACAACTAGCCATCCTCCACATGCGGCTCACCTGCAGCTGTAAAAAACAGAATTGTGGATAAAAAAGTTTTAGAGAAAATTTACAAGTTATTTAATAGTTAATGTTTTATAATGAACATCCATATGATATGCTGTCAAAGTCAGAAATGGCAGGCAGACATTTAAAAACAGCGCAAATTGGTATCAGCCAAGAAAATTCCAATCAGTGCAACTCTAATTACAAACAACATTTAAATAGGGTAGGTATGAAGCACGTTAAAAAGACATCTACTCAAATCAAATTGGCACATTTATGGTTAAGGCCTCTTCTCTACAACCTTATTACCACCCTTTAGTTGCATTTTGTTAGTTTATGGACCAAATATGGTGTGACCCATGTCCCTTATTGGATAATCCCCTTGCCTCTCAAAGATTGGCCAGAGGCAACACGACCATATACCCAACACACCTTTTGTAGGTGCACCATATCTTTCATATTTGTTTTACACGAATGTTGTGCTTCAAACCTAACCCTATTTAACTATCAGGGTTCGACAATAACGGTGGCCCAATCGGGCCAGTGCAAAAACATAGGAACATAGAAGGAACATAGTAGGAAAAACCAATAAATCGCATTAGATACTCAACATCCTGCAGTTGTTCCGCAGCTCTTGGCGTGCACCGTTGTCCAATTCAGTGTTGTAGTGACGTGACAAGTGGTTGTCAAATGTTATTTCTCTAATCTTAATCAAGAGGCAACCTCTTCTCAAGTGATTTATTACCTCAATAAACATTTTTATAATGAATTTATGGTCTCAGTTGCTACTTTGAAGTCTTCTTCAACATAGCATGATGTTCATTTAGTAAATTATGGTCCTATTTAGGATGAAATAGACCAGAAAGCAGCATATGCTTTGGGGCGGCACCACCTTGTGATTGACATGTCGCTACCATGGCGACCTGTCAATCAGGATAGAGGTGACTTGTATCCGCTGCTCTGTGTATGTTATTTTATGAAATGGCTGTCAGCAGGACAGAGAGCAAGTCATGTTTGTGTCTATTAGTATGTTTTGTTTTAAAAGTAAATTGTTTTGTTAACCTTTTTATTTTTCATAAGTTTAACTGTGATTTCATTTTAGTTTAGGTTTTTTTTATATCCAAGATGTATTTAATAAACGATTAAACATGTTAACAGAGTAGCATAACTTATGTCTTTTTAACACTGATGAATAACTTTTGGAGGGAGGGACAGTAAAAACTGCCTTCGGGCCAGTAAGTTTCAAACCTACTGGCCCGGTGAGGCAGTTGCAAAAAAGTTTAACGTTGAGCCCTGAGTATTGTTTCATGATGACCCTAATGAAGGCGAAAAGTGTTGCTGGAGTTTTGACCTTTTTACACATTTCCCCCTTCTCCATGGATCTTAGAAGTAGGTGCTTGTGCCAGAAACCCCTACTCTGCTTCTACAAGACTAGAACATATCAATTTAGGGTTATAGCTTAGAGCATGGGGAACATTTGGAAGAGTTTACAGAGTAGCTGTGTTGAAAATATTCCAGAGATGCTGCCTAGAAAATAGAAATCATGGGTTTGTCAGAGAAATTGTGATGCATTGTGAACTAGGGAAGTGGCGAAGCAGGACTCTAGAGATATGAAGCAGCTGTACCCTTGGCCTTGGCCCTTGAACCTATCATGCAACGGTGCTCTGTCTGTCTCTCTGCTGGTCTTTCTGCCTCCTGTTTGGCTCCCTGCGAGGCTGAGAAGTCCCAAAGGAAAGAGATCCTGACCTCACCCAGCTGGCTTGCCTTTCAATGGCCTACTGTCAACATCCCCATTTTCAGCAGCATTGCCATCGGGAACGTTCTCCCTCCCGCTCTCTATTATTTTCTCTTGTGTTTTCACAAAGATACCGTCTCGTACACAATAAATGCTCAGCGGACAGCAGGTTTTCACTGATGCACACCCAAACAACTGGAAGGCAGACTAATTTGTTTTTGTCTAGAGATGAAAGCCCCATGTGTGATTGTATAAAGACTGTGCACAGGATAGTACATATTAATAATGGATATTTATTCTGTTTGATATTCTTTTCATGCCCTCCAAGACACCGTCAGGCAGTGGAATCATGTCTGTAGTTGGCTGGGAGGACAGCAGCCCTTTACAGGTCAGTGGACATTTATTTTGGTTTAAGCTGTGCCTAGAAAATAAAGCTAAATGTGAATAAAACACAACTATCCTCCTGTCTTTTGTAGGCCATCGCTACACATTTATATTAGCATAGTAAAGGCCAGCGTGGCTGCTTTTCATAATTCCCCTGTCTCCGTGCTGTGACTCACTTGTGTTAAGTAGATTTGGACATGCCTTTATGCTATAGGGCATTTGCATCCATTCCAAGGTGAGCCCCTGTCTGTGTCATGTTTTGACATTTAGTTTAGTGTCCTGAATTTTCACATTATGCTTACTCTGTTGAAAAAGTATCCTTGCCATAGCTCAGAAAAATATTCAGTACGTAATACCTTACATAACCTGATTAACTGATATTGCATCCGTCAGTGGGGAACCCATATGAAAGCAGTGTTTAATCCGCTTCTCCGTACATATCGGTTGCTTCATACAGCTTGCCGCATTGTATATTGACTGCTGATTGAATTCCCAGTAATTGCCAATCCCTCAGTGTCAGATCCAATGTTCAACCAGGAGCAATCACTTGAACACAGCGATGGTTGCATGACTAGTATGCTTGCCATTGTTGTGCTAGGATTTCATCAGGATTCAATAGCTTGTATCTCCAGTGTGTGAGCGATGGTGGGACGCGACAGGATGGACAAGTGGAGGAAAGAATAATTACTGGGCTTATTTCCTCCCCAAGTCATTCACGCACCAGCAGGCCCAACAAAAAGGACTCTCCCCCTGCATTGTTATTATGAAATGAAAAATGGGCGCCAGATCAGTACAGTGACAGGCCGTTTGGTGTATTTACCTGTCATTTGTCTCCTTTTGGACAGGAGTGGACACTGTGAAGTTTGAGGTGGTGCGCACCCACTGATGATATCAGTTTCTGAGCCTCTGCTTTGTGTTGTAGATGGATGTGCTGCACTGTAAGTGTTGGGTGTAATCTAGCGTCATGCTGGTTGTCGGACACGGAGAGGAACACAGTGGATTTCAAATGTAATACGTTTGAAAGCAGGCCTAATTAAAAAGCGAACAGGCACTTGGCAAGCATTGATTGTTTGTGTACCTGCACATTGAGGATAAGGACGAGACCATTCAACTGCAAGGATACTCTGTATTAATTAGTGGCTTGAAGCAAAGGCCACATTTGAACATGGGGAAAATGAATTGGCATGTATTGCCACTTCTTTTCCCTGCACTTATGTTACTGGATCAGCGGGACCCCTGCACTTCGGCTGATATTGGCTGTAAATAATGATTGAATCTTCAGAGGAAGGTACACTAAGCACGTACGTCACTACACATCAACGAAACACAAACTCTTTTATTAGCTATAAAAATGGTCAAGTTAAGCCATTTTCAATTATTGTGTTTACTGGATCAATTTGCACCAGCTGTCAGGCGTATGAGGACTAATGGAGGTGTCACGCTGAGTTTATTCATGAGCTTAGAATTATATGATTCTATCTGCCTTCAGGATAGTTCTGAGTTATTGAGCTTAAAGGTTTTCAACATCCATTGAGTTAAATGGCGATTACGCACTCAAAAATCATTCCTTTCAAAAAATAACGCCATTAATTGGCTTTCACTGACTTAGTTGATGTGACTGTCTCAGCTTGGACAAAAAGTGTTGTGTGAACTGTAAAAATCATCTGATTGCTGTCTATACTCTTTACTCTGGCATGGACAATGGCTAACAATCGTGTTCATTTCCATTTTCATATATTACTTATAGTTCTGTCTGCACCTGTTTACAGCGCACGCTATTTACTGTCCCCAACAACCTTTGGATATTTTAAACTAAAAAAAAATTATATTAAATGTACTATTCATGTCCCATCTGTCAGTTTAAAACTTTCACGTTTATTTATCGTCACATTAAAGGGGCATTATGGAGTTTCAAGCGGCCATTAGCGGTGCGGTTTTAAGATTGCTACCAGGCGTGTGCTCGTACGCGAGCTTGCTTGAACTCATGAGCGGGCATAATCCGAAACACAACCACTTTCATACAGAAATCCTACAGTAAATGCAGAAACTCCAGCATGCAGGCTGTAGCTTTTCACTCAGACATGTTCAGGCTTTGTTACGTCAACGTTCCCGTCTCAGAGGCAGATCAACACCGACTCCGTAACATTAGATCATTCAGCGCAGCGAGCCGCATATCGGTTCAATCCTCCCGGGAAAAAGGCAAAGTGACAGCAACTATGGGCAGGCAGGGAGACAGCTGCACACAATATACTGGAAACTCAGGTAAACCCCTACTGCAACGTTACAGTAATAGTTTTAACTATTAACTGCTTGAGCTAACGTGACTTTCTCTGTGTTTCTCCAGCTTTACTAACGCTCACTGTGTTCTTACTTGACATCATCTGAACCTGTTTGGTCTGATGGGCTTATGCACATAAAACGTTATTGTTGTTTTGTATCCTTACGTGGAGCCTGTGTTTTGCTATGAGCTGGTTGTTTTATGGTGTTAGTGGACTGCATTTCGTTAGCTGCCGTGTTGACGCCGTAGTACAAGAGAGGCTCGGGAGCGGGAGTCCCCACATTAAAAGCAGAATAGTGGCTGATGCTAATACAGAGAAAACAGGCGTGTGCTTCTTTTCTAAATGGGTTTTTAGCCCATTGACCATAAGGCAATAAAAATTTGATTAATTGCATTGAAAAACTTACATATAGTCCCTTTAAACCTGCCTCCACTTTTGGCATGCACTGAGAGACCTTTTGGAATTTCTTTTATTCGTGTTTCAGTTTTTGAGTTAGTAAAAGGCAACCTTTAGAAGCTCCTGTAGAACATTTTGTCACAATGTGTACAATTCAGCCACAATATAAGTAAGTCAAATGGCTGGTGTGACATTTGAATAATAGACTGTCAATCCATTACAGTCCATCTTCACCAGATCGTCTTTAACAGTAGACTGCAGCTGGACACATATGGTTTTAGGCTGTGTGTTATCTGCTGGAGCAGTGTTTCACCTACACTGTGGCTGTCAACACACTAATAAATACTGTTTTCTACACCAGCAAGGCAGTGTTGACTTTTGACGGCCTCAGAAGTCAGTGCACCTTGAGAAGAAAACGGTCTTGATTAAATTAAACATACATACTGTGTGTCTAAATTCTCATTCTGCAGCATTACACTGTTGTTATTTCTCTTGCTAGTGCTAGCCACCATCACCCCTGAGTTTCTCGCTGACTGACTAGTTAGAGGCAGTGCTGTTGAAGCCTTGGGCCATTTTAGATTGCTGATCAGATGTGCGGGGAGCTGATCTCCAGTACATACACGATAAACTGCATCAGTCTGCAAAAGGTTTGCTGTCAGAAGTCAGTCCAGAGAAATCAATCCGTCGCTACACTCAGAATGACACGCTGCTGTTATTTTCTGGCATGGGATGCTGTAATGATAGTGCTATATGCACTGAAAGGAAAGTCAATTTGCCACAGCAATTTGCAGAAACAGATCATGCCTGTCAACCAACACGGTGTTGACTTTGATGGCACCAATCACAGCAGCAAAGAGACACGTGCTATGAACTCACTCCTACAGACTCTGTGGTTGGTGCTTTCTGGTTCTCACTCTCTTTCTCTCTCTCCCTCCCTCCTTTTCCTCCTCTGTCAATACACTCCACGCCACGCATCACTGGCATGCTCTCCTACACTCCTAGAAAAACACGATCATTAAAAAATAAATACATAATGCCCATAGCAGTGAAGCAGGTGGGAGGGGGAGCAGTGTGAGCTCTCAGACTGAGTCAGACTGACTCATACTTCTGCCCACTGACTGAATGCATTTACTCAAAACCACTGCTGACTTTATGGATTCCAGGCATTGATTTTCTAATTTTAAAACTTAATGAACTGTAAAGGGAAAAAAACAAAAAAACTAGTGGACTGCTTTTCCTTTGTGGCTGACATTAATAAGTTAGTTTGCCATGCATAATTGAGAGGTTTATGATTTCATTAATGGATAAGGGTGGCTTCACAGAATGCTGTAGTCATGATATACAGTAAATGCCCTGACAGTCATCTACAGCTGCTCTCTAATACTTCCTAAACACACATACAAGTTTTTAAAACAATTGATATCAGCCTTATGATATGTTTTTTATTTATATCTATTTGCCTCTTCTGCTGCTGTGGAAGATTTAAAATACTAACATGTTTTATTTATGTATTTACTTGTAAGTTCATTTTCTTTTTACTGTACTTTTCACTTTAGCAGATAAAAAAAAAAAAAACTTGACAAAACAATCCCACCTCAAGGTCCGTTTAGTAGCTGTTCTGTAGCTTTTGATCATATCACATAATCTTCATCAGCAGTTATGGAATTGTAGATGTTTCCATTTTCATTATTTGCACACTTTTAAGTTAATTCTTGTTAATTCTTATTCATTCTAAGATGTTCATTCTAAGTATTTAGGAGCATATCACATGGGTCTTCATCAAGATGAAGCTCCTGTGATTTTTTTGTGATTGTTCAGGAATATTAAAAATTTTAACATCAACAATTCCATAATAATTCTAGTCAAACCCTGTCTGCTGATGAAGATTTGATGCTTTGTTAACTGCTGGCAACAAGGTCATGAATGAACTTTGAAACTCCAAAAAAGAAAATGTAATAATATTCTATATTAAATCATAGAATGAGTTGGTAGATAGGAAGATTATACGGGTACTGCCTATATGTTCATTAACTGACTCAGAATGTTAATACTGTATTATAGTGAATTTGAAAGGAGAACTGAGGGGCATGTAGCCTATGAAGCAGCCTTATCTGAGTGAGGAAACAACAAGTAAACACGGTTATTATAGATGTTGGGCACTAGGCTGATATGAAAACTCATAACAGGTCACTCTTTAATCAAGTCATGAATTCATTACTAGATAATTAGCGGGTTTGCTGCTGTGGTTGGAAATTTAACATCCCATTTGGAGATTCACTTCACAAGCCAAAAGTTAATCAGGAAGAAAGTCAATGTTAACTGTCAGCTT